AAAAAAAAAAAAAGATTCTATAATGGAGATTTATATATATACATTCAGCCAATGTATAAAATGTAATAATACTTATTATCAAGAAAATATTAAAACAAAACATCACAATCGAAATACACAACAAAACAAATCATATCACGAAACATATTTTAATCCTCACTTTTATGATATAATTCTTACTTCTTATTTCAAATCACATTTATGAATTCACATTCTTTATTTGTAATATTTCTCTACTCGAATATCACATATCCTCTTAGATATCACACATAACTCGAAATGTCACAATACACTCGAAATATCGCATCTAAGGTTTCATAGCGCGATGCCGTTTATATGGTCATCGAGAAAAGGCGAAATGGATCTCCTCATCGCATGGATAGTACACATATAAATTTCACAATGGTCACAACAGGTACGTTTGCTAGATAACCCGCACTCACAAATACATATTTACGTTTAAATTAGGTTTCAAACTCTATTCATGTGTAGGTTCACCATGTCCGTTAAACTTCAGCCACACACGCACCCTCTCCTTTTCGATTCAGACTAAAAGAGCAGATATTCAGGGTTCTTATGCTCTACACTCTTTTCAAATATCTCTCATTCCTAATTCACTCATTTTATACCTAAAATCTCAATTCTACGCATAATAAAATATAAACACACAGATAATACACGATATTATCAGACACATCAGAACCATACATTTATCAAACCACTTTGTGAGTCATCCTGTATCAGATCATACAATAAGTACAAGATACTCAAATTTTTCGCGTAACTGTATTGGATCACACAACAAGTACAATGCATTGTACATCTGTATCAGATCACACAGCCAGTGTAACACTCACCAAAACTTTTTTTTTTTCATTTTCTATTAATAAATGTAATTATTTATTTATTTAATTTAATTTATTATATTTTATTTTATTTTACTTTAATGAAAAAAATGGGCAAATTTTATTAAGGATTAAATTGAAAATAATTTTGAGAAAAATGGGTGAAAAATTGGGTTTAGTAAGGGTTTTTGAAAGAAAAATCGAAAACCGGAGGGTCAAAACATAATTTAAAAAAAATTTATCATGTCAGACGTTCAGTCAGCAGCCCCGACCAACCAAGACGTACCAAGTGGCAGAGGTGCTGACGCGAGAGGCCACGCAGGGGGAGCCACGTGGGCAATCCACGTGCACGTGATCGAACAACTGAGGTCCATTCCCATGCGCACGGACGGGCCAGAGTGAATCATGCACGAATGGCTCAGATTGGATCGTGATGAACGACTCATATTCACTTCATATTTAATCGCGATTGGACGGTATAGATCAAACGCGATGGACGACCCAGATCAAAACTAGATGAGTATAAATAACCCTACTCCCACCCAAACCCTAATCCTAGCCGCCAGAACCCCTTAGCGGAGAAGACAACCCAACCGCTGGGGAGCCGACCGCCACCACCCGCTGCCGCAACGGAACCCTTTCCGACACCAACAAAGGTTGACCGAAGCGAAACACCCAACTGCAACGTGAGCCGGAGGAACTGCCGCACCGGAGAGCCCCGCCGCTGGTGAGTTTCGGTTTTTCGTATTTTTTTCAGCCCACCGAAGCCCTTTAGCGTGTGTGCTCACAGGAATCAAGGCAAAATCGATCGAATTCTGCTGACCCAAGGTGGATCGCCGCCGCGAGCAGCGGCCCTGTCGCCGGAGCATGGCAGAGCCGCCATGTCGGATTTCTGAAATTGGCCTAGCGGGCCATGGGACTGATTTTGAGTTTATTTGGAATATTTGTAGGTACTATAAGTGCGTTTCAGTTCCCGGAGAAAAATTCAGAGAACTCAGGGACCGCTTGTAGGCGCAGTAAACCGTTTACCTTTTCGGCGTCAAATCGAGTAAGGATCCCTCATCCTATTCCCTATCATAGAATTGAAGTTTAAATAAATAATAATATGGTATTTTGTACAAATTAAATAGATGAGCATAATTAATTACGGATTGCTAATGGAGCCCGAATATGACATTGTTCTCTGTTGATTTATTTTACAGTATAAAAGTATGATAATATCTGATTTATCTATTTTATGGTTTAAATACATGTATTACTGTCTTACCTGACCATTGTTTGATTTGGGATTTGAGACATGATTGTATTACCGGATGCATGTTTATTTGTTTATGTGATTATGTTTGATTTGGTAATAGAAACTAAAGGAAAACAAGAAAGGAGTGTGATAAAATAAACAGATGGAATGACAGTCTTATTAGATATCCTGGGAGATGGTGGACGGACTAGGTACATGAAAACTCTACCGTGAACGTTGTCTCATACCAGACCGGGTATGGGGATGACCCGCTTTACCCTCATACTGGACGGGGTATTGTAGTTTAATGTCTTGGCGCTCATATTGGACGGGGTATTGGGACGGTCCTGTAATTGAGGTTGTTAAAAGAAAAGGGTTCACGTGTAGCGGGAACATCCCTATGAACCCCTATAGATACTAGTAGGCTGGTGAAATGGGAAACAGTTATGATTTGATTTATTGTTAATAGATATGAATCTATGATATATTATATGTTGCTGATTATTCATAAAGTTATGATCTGTATGATATTACTGTCTCTATAGGTTGTTTTCATAAATTTTACTATGGTAAGTGAACAGTTAATAGTTTTATTTTTAATAATAAATGTATTGGTTTAAATTTAGTGCTCCATTAGTAGTTTTTGATTTTATACCAACCTTTGCTTCTGTGCGGGTGATATAGTGTGATATCCTTACTGAACTAGTGTAGTTTATCATTTATTTAACCATTTTAGATCAAGAGGACCTAGTTCTAGAGCTCGATCCGTAGGAAGATTGCGAGTAGATGGTAAATACTTTCTATTTTCCATTACTTTTCTTATTTCTCGTGTTTCTTTCAGATAATTCTTTCTGAAATAATTGTTTAGTGCTTTTAAGTTATTGTGTAAGGGATGTAAACCTTAACATTTTATTTCACTTCCGTACTTAAATTATTATGTATTTCTTTTTGGATTTCCGGGGTCGCTACAGCCAGTGCAGTGTACCCAAATTTCATACGTACACACACTAGTTATATATTTCACATGTATAACATATGTACACACATATATATTACAATGCAGATATATATCTTCACTGTATATTTCAAATATAATGTATATTTATATTCACAGACTCATACAATTTCTATAGATACATATACACACGTTCATACTTAAACACGTATACACAATCACACATAACATATCATAAATATATATATTTATTCATGCATTTGCTTTTATAAGTTCCATTCTTGTCAATTCTGTTCTTATTAATTTATATCTTATTTATCATATATTTTTATATATATACATACACATGCATAACGTGTATATATATATACACTACATAAACACAAACAAATATAAATTAAACATATTAATTGCATATATTATATTACACATAATGCACTATATATATACATATTTACATAAATATATAATTTATTTCTCCGTACAGAATACACATAATCTTTACATATGGTGTGATAAGGAAAGTTTTAGAAATCTTTTCTATCTTGATCACGGTCCTATTGAAAATTCGAATAGTTTTCCTCTTAAGACACACGGTCTCGGTTGCTAAAGTTACCCCTCGTCATTACACACGTGTCACATAAAATGCCAGGTGCTGATGATCGAATCAGCGAGCATTGTCGCATGCGACGCATCAATATCATATTTGATTGCCACCCTTCTATTTTTCTTCCTTAATAATTTTTTTTTCTTTTCTTTCATTTTTTTCCTTTTTTTTTTCTTTTATTCTTCTTTTTTTTAAAATCTTTTTAATCTTTTTTTTTCTTTTTTCTTTCTTCTTCTTCTTCCTTCTTCTTCTCTCTCCCTCTCCCTCCCGCGACGTCTGTCCTTCCGGCACGTCTCACCTTCGCGACTGCTGCTCACTCCTCTCTTCACGCGGCCAAGTCTCCTCCCCTCACTCCTCTCTTTCGGCCTCGATCCTCACTCAACTCGGCCTTTTTTCTCACACGCTTGAACTCAGCTCTCTTCCTCTCTTTCTCTTTTTTTTTTCTCTTCTGCTATTTCATTATATATATATATATATATTTCTTTTTGCTGCTTGGTTTGTTCTTCTTCTCTCAACTTTTTTCTAATTAATTAACATATATATTATGTATATATATATATTTTTTCTTTTGAACCTAGTTGGTGCACCAGCTGGTATTACAATATATTCGAATTAAAAATTATTAATTAATAATATACCATGTGTCCAAATATTAATTGTGTTACATAATTTTCATAAATCTGATTTAAAATGTCTGTAAAACGACAACTCCTTTCTTGAGTGTGTTTCTTTATTTTATTTTATAATAATATACTAAATTATTTATATTAATTTTTATTTTGATTTTACACTTATTTGTTATTTTTCTTTAAAAAAAAATTTAGCTCAAATAATAATTTATGTTAACTACTTTAAATAAGAAAAATTAATTACCATAAAATATTTATTTAACTAAAATCATAATAATTCGCTGAAATAAAGTTTGAATTTCAATATATTAATAACTTAAATTTTAAATTAATTAAATAAAATATTATTAACTAACTATTTTTTTAAATCTATAATACATACATAAAGTAATGTTTATATTTTTATTTATATTTTGAAATAAATTTTGACTTGATTTATACAATATATCAATATACTAGTAAATTAAACTTTAAATTAAATAAAATATTATTGGCTAATTATTTTTGACCCATAATACACATAAAAGGTAATTATATTTTTACATTAATATCAACTTAAACATTGATTTAGTGGTGACAATATATTCTGTAATTACAATGATAATGGTAAAAATAGAATAGTGCATAATAATAAATATTTTAAATTATGTTTTTATTTAATCTATTTAAAAAATAAATTAAATAACTCTTTTATTTATTATGATGTCAAAATATAATAGAATAGTTATTCCATTAAAAATAGTATGGATTTCATTCAAACCTCGGTCAGTCTGACCCAAATAAATAAAAAAGAAATGGGTGAGCCCGAAAGCTCAATTACCCGTTGCCTTCGCATGACTGTCGTCTAGTTCTGCACCAACCAGAGCAACTTTCCTGCGGACTGCTGTCGCGATCTTACTCGAAAGGCTCAATTCATCGTAGTTTCAGGTTGGTGACTGGTCTGTTCTTGGGATCCAATTAATATGACCTGTTTGTCTCTATGCAAGGAAGTTCTTAGGTTTCGTTTGACTGCCGAGAAACTGTAGGAAATGGAAAAAAAAAAGGAGAGATTATATATTCGAATTTTTTACTGCGCTTAAGATTTTGATGGAACCGAGAAGAACATAGCTATCTTATGAGATGGACCTCTTGAATAAGCCCTAATGCGGTTTTCTGTTTGAATTGGACGATTCATGTGAGTAGATTGATGGTGTCTACAGTTTTATTTCTTTCCTTTTATTCATTTTCTCAGGATCCTAACATTGATTATAAAGCTATTCCAGCTACTACTTGACATTGCATTGCTTTAACTGGATATTTTTTTTTTTAATTTTCCTCTGGGAAGTTATGCTATCGTGTGAGCCATTGAGTTTTCAGTACCGTACTTGAATTGGTGGATCTAAAGCCATCTGTTGTCAGTTGGATTACTTTTTCGTTTCATGAAATTACTCTTTTATACTTTGTTTACTTGCAGACTGTGGCTTATATGACAAGTTCCTGGTATCAAATTGGGCATCAGAAGCTAGTAGATACTGTCTAAGAATGTCTTTGTAAATTCCTTCTTGTACTCTAAAGTTGATATTATGGCTGCGGTTAGGTTTTCAGTTCTAAAATCACTTTGTAATGCAATAGGCCCATCTTTTAAATTGCAATCGATTCGGTCATACAAATCCTGCGCGAACCATACCAGACATACTGATTTTTATCATCTAAGGTCAACATATGGATACTGTAATTATCATCAAGGGGAATTCCATTCTCCTAGAAACATTGCAAATGCCTATGTTCAAGTTCTGGGCTATCAGTCTCCCTTTAGTAGCAAATGTTCCAAGACCAAGCCTGTCACATCATATTCTTCCTCATCTTCAATTTTGCGTTCTCAGAATACCATGCTTGTTATGTTGACAAGCTCCACATTTGGACAACCATCACATGCATTGTCTTTCAGCACAAAAGCTGACAAACCTGGGGACTTGCATGTTCCAGGTGCTTCTAGTTCAAGTGAAGCAGATGTTAGTAACAGTGGCTTGGCTGGAACTGATTTGCTCGATAAGCTTAAGGATGCATGGCAGAGTGCAGTAGATGCTGTTACTTATACTGGGCAGAAGGCTAAAGAAACCTCCAATGAGCTGAACCCCTATGTTCAACAGATGCTTGACACTTATCCATATCTTAAAAACATTGTTGTCCCTGTTACTTTTACTTTGACTTGTACTATGCTGGTTTGGGTGGTGATGCCGAGGATTTTGAGGAGGTTTCACAAATATGCAATGCGAGGCCGCACTTCTTTACTCCCTGGAGATCAAGTTCCCTATGAGAAAAGTTTTTGGGGTTCTTTGGAGGATCCTGTGCGATATCTAGTCACCTTCATAGCATTTTCACAAATGTTAGTGGCTTTAATTTCTGGATTGACTGATTTTTGCATGTTTGTGTCATATTTTGGATTGTGCATCATTTTCTTTGTTGACTTTGATGTGCAGTGGCATGATGGTGGCACCTACAACTCTAGCATCACAATATATTATTCCAGCCTGGAGAGGGGCAGTCATCCTTTCATTTGTGTGGTTTCTATATCGCTGGAAAACAAATGTGTTCTATCGTGCATCAGCTTCACAGAATTTAGCAGGGCTAGACCGTGAAAAGATATTAACGCTAGACAAAGTTTCATCTGTTGGTCTTTTTGTTATTGGTTTGATGGCCTTGGCAGAGGCGTGCGGGGTGGCTGTGCAATCTATTCTAACAGTTGGTGGCATAGGAGGTTGGTATTTGTCGCTAATTGCACAAAACCTTTTTTACTTCTATTCATATATTATAATAGAAAGAACCTTATGATTTTTTTTCTTAGTTATTGTAAATAACCTCTTACACTTTTCTTGGTAATGACTTCCCTGATGACCTCAATTGGGTTGTTGCTTCTGGTATTAACTGAAGTTGAACTTGAAGTTGAACTTTCTTTTTTGTTTTATAACTCTTTGGTCACGCATGCATGAAGAGCTCACTCTTG